CACAAACAAAAATGTTAACAGTATTGTCACCTGTATAAAGAAAAAAACAGACCTGCACACTAAAAAGCTTTGGAAGACTACAAACCAAAATTAACACGGACTACTCCAGGAGTGAAGAAAAGTAAAATGGAAAAGAAAGTATCTAAGGAAAACAGAGAACTTTTAGTTAACATACTTGTACCCTGATAATTTACTCTTATAATTATTATACATTTTTAATAATGCATAATTATGCAATATTTACAAAAAGTAAATAATGAGGAAACTACCAAGATCTGAACATAAAACATCTCAGAATATTTTTCCAAATGATAATATTTTACACAATGATATTATTACTGAAGTAGAATTCACAGAAAAGTTGAAATCCTCACAGACTTCATTCTAGGGTTAATCAGTTTATCTACTAATGACATTTTTCAGGCTCTTCTCGAATTTTATTCAAGCTGTGAGGGATATATGCTTTGATTACCTCTCCCAGCAACAGCAATACCAAAAACTAGCTTCAAAGACAAAAGGCATACAGAGTTAGCTTTTTGTAAGACAACACTAAAAATATGAAAAAAAAAGCACACAAAAAAAACAAAACAGGGGTGCCTCAGTGGCTCAGTCGATTGAGCTTCCAACTTTTAGTGGGGAGTCTGCTTGAGATTCTCTCCCTCTGCCCCTTCCCCTGCTTGTACATGCATTCACTATCTGCCTCTCTCTCTAAAATGAGTAAATCTTTAAAAAAATTTTTAAAAATACCTCCCTTAAGGGTTTTGGTACAAATTTTATGTTGAATTATATGAAATTGCCACTAATCAATTGTTCAACTTTGGTACAAAGCTTTTCCCTGAGGAAGAATTTTTACCCTTTATGGACTATTTGACCTTTGATGGCTCACTCATTTGCTGACAATCCCCACTGTATAAACAATGAATTTCTTCCTCACTATAGGATATGTTGAAACAGGTATCTTATGAAAAAACTACCTAAAACATGTTTGGACTTTATTTCAATAAGTCTACCATGATAATGAAGAAATGGTGAAAAAAATATTCAGGCCATAAAGGGAAAATGTATTGTTTGGATAAGGTAAACTATAGGTGTGTCTCAGAGGTACTGCAGATGCGGTTCTAAACCACCACACTAAAGTACGTATTAGAATAAAGGAAGTCAGACTACTGAAGTTTTTTGGATTCCAGAGGCACATAAAAGTTATGTTTATACTATACCGTATTCTAGTAAGGGTGCAATATCATTGTCTAAAAAACCTAATGTATATACCTTAATTTAAAAATACTTTGTTGTAGAGGCGCCTGGATGGCTCAGTTGGTTAGGCAACTGCCTTTGGCTCAGGTCATGATCCTGGAGTCGGGGGATCGAGTCCCACATCAGGCTCCCTACTCAGCAGGGAATCTGCTTCTCCCTCTGACCCTCCACTTCTCATACTTTCTCTCTCTCTCTCTCTCTCTCTCAAATAAATGAGTAAAATCTTAAAAGAAATACTTTATTGCTAAAAACCATCATCCAAGCTTTTAGTGAGTCAAAATCCTTTTGCTAATGGAAGGTCCTGTTTTGATGATGCTGGCTGCTGACTGATCAGGGGGTGGTTACTGAAGGATGGGGGTAGCTGTGGTAAGACAAAAAATGAAGTCTCCCACATTAATTGACTCTTCCTTTCACGAACGATTTATCTGTAACACGCAATGCTGTTTGGATACTTTTATCTGCAGAGCTTCTTTTGAATTGGAGTCAGTCCTCTTAAACTCTGCTGCTGCTTTATCAACTAAGTTTATGTAATATTATAAATCCTTTGTTGTTATTTCAACAATCTTCACAGCATCTTCACCAGGAGTAGGTTCCATCTCAAGAAAACACCTTTGCTCATCCATAACAAGCAATTCCTCATCTATTCAAGTTTTATGATGAGTTGCAGCAATTCAGTCCTAATCTTCAGGCTCCACTTCTAATTCTACTTCTTTACTACATCTGCGGTTACTTCCTCCACCAAAGTCTTAAAGCCCTCAAAATCAACCAAGAAGAGACTGGAATCAACTTCTTCCAAACGTCATTCATGTTGATATTTTGACCTCTACATATGGAATCATGAATGTTCTTACCAGCATTTTAGAACAGCTGAATCCTTTCCAGAAGGTTTTCAGTGTACTTTATCCAGATCAATCAGACGAACCCCTATCTATATGGAAGCTACAGTTTTACAAAATGTATTTCTTAAACAGTAAGACTTCAAAATCAAAATTACTTCTTTGTTCAGATGTTGTATACACTGCCAAACAGATATATTAGCAGGCATGAAAACAACATGCATCTTGTATATCAGAACTCTTGGGTGACCAAGTACATTGTTCTAGGAGCATTAGTATTTTGAAAGGAATTTTTCTGCTCTGAGCAGGTTTGAACAGTGGGCTTAAAATATTCAGTAAACTGCTTTGTAAAACAGAAGTGCTGTCATTCAGACTTTACTGATTCATTTACAAAGCACTGAAGAGTAGATTTTGTATAATTCTTTAGGACTCTGGGATTTACAGGATGGTAAATAAGCACTGGCTTCAACCTAAAGTCACTGGCTATATTAGACCCTAACAGGAGTCAGCCTATCCTTGGAAGCTAGGTACTGACTTCTCCTTTCTAGCTATGAAAGTCCATCCAGATGATATCTTCCACCAGAAGGCTTTGTCATTTACACTGAAAACCTGTTATTCAGTGTAGCCAGCTTCATAACGATCTTAGCTAGATCTTCTGGATAACCTGGAGCAGCGTCTACATCAGCCCTTGCATTTTTATGTTAGAGAGACAGCTTCTTTTCTTAAGCCTCAGGAACCAAACCCGTGTTAGCTTTAAACTTTTATTCTGCAGCTTCCTCCACTCTCTCAGCCTTCACAGAATTGAAGAGCATTAGGACCTTGCTCTGGATTAGGTTTTGGCTTAAGGGAATATTGTGGATGGTCTGATCTTCTATTCAGACCACTTAAACTTTTTCCCTATCAGCACTAGGGGTGTTTCATTTTCTTATCCATGTGCTCACTGGAATAGCACTTCTAATTTCCTTTAAGAACTTTTCCTTTGCATTCGTAAGTTGGCTGTTTAGTGCAAGAGACTTAGTTTTTGGCCCATCTCAGCTTTCAACACGCCTTCCTCGCTAAGCTTAATCATTTCTAGCTTTTGATTTAAAGTGAGATGTGTAGGACTCTTCCTTTCACTTGAGTATTTACAGGCTACTATAGGGTTATTACTTGGCCTAATTTCAATATTGTTCTGTCTCAGGGAAAAGGGAGACCCAAGGAGAGGCAAAGAGATGGGGAACAACTAGTGAGTAAAGCAATTAGAACACACAGTATTTATTAAGTATGTCATCTCATATGGGCACAGTTCATGATGCCCCAAAATGATTACAGTAATTACATCAAAGATCACTGATTTCAGATCACCATAACAAACACCATGAAAAAGTTTGAGATAGATTCTAAGACTTGCCCAAATGTGACAGAGAGACACAAAATGAACAAATGCTACTGGAAAAATGGCACCAACTTGCTCAAAGCAGGGTCATCACAAAACTTCAATTTGTAAAAAAAAATGAAATTTCAGGCACCTGGGTGGCTCAGTGGGTTAAGCCTCTGCCTTCAGCTCAGGTCATGATCTCAGGATCCTGGGATCAAGGCCTGCATCTGGCTCTCTGCTCAGCAGGGAGCCTGCATCCCCCCCACCCCGCCCCTGCCTGCCTCTTTGCCTACTTGTAATCTCTCTCTGTGTCAAATAAATAAATAAAATCTTTAAAAAAAAAAAAAAAAAAAAAAAAGAAGTTTCTGCAAAATGCAATAAAACAAGGGATGCCTGTGAAACATATACAGGCTTATGGGATTTTTAAAGTAGATAGGGTTAAAAAGTCTTGGGGTAAGGGAATGAATGGAATTGAAATATTTAAATATCCTCAAATAAATTCTAATTTACTTCCCTCCAAATTCTTAAAATATTTCTGCCTTGCCCTTTTCTTCCCACCATCAGCTCTCAGAGCATTCATGTTACTTCTCATCACCATAAAAACCATAAAAACACAAAACATAAAAACACAAACATACTAGGAAGGGGTGGGGTAGAACTGGGAAAATATATAATGAGCTACTACTTGACTACGAAACTTAACTCATCCTTTTTTTTTTAAGTAGGCTCCACACTCAACATGGAGCTTGAACTCACAACCCCTGAGATCAAGAGTTGCATGCTCTACCAACTGAGCCAGCTAGGTGTCCTGAAACTTAATTCATCCTAACCGCTCCTCTTTTCCTCTCCTAACTTGTCTTAAAAAGAAACCAACCAACCTCCAGACTCCACATCCCCCAGCTTTTTCTCCTTCACAGGCCGACTTCAAGTTGCTTACTCTTGCTCTATAATACATTTGTATTCACTATACCAACTACTCCAAGCTTTTTCCATCATCTACATTCTACTAAACTTTCTTCTACATTAGCAAGGACTTTATCATTCAATCCAATGGCCATTTTGAGCCTTTTTCAAATTGTTTAATCCAATGGATATTTGATCTTTTTGTGTAACATATGCTATTGACCACCTATCCTTGAAACAAACCATTTTCTTTGTTTCCCTGACTGCCACTCTGTCCTAGTTTACACAGTTTATGTCTAAACCTTTCATAGGCATTATCCCTCCAAAAAATCCGTTATAAGCTGGTATCCGAACCTCTCTGTCTTGAGTCAAGTTCACTTCAAAGAGAATTCATTTGCTATATAGTTTCACTTACCACCAATTACTGATAAGACTTTAAACCCAATGTCTCAACCAGTTCTCTTTTCTGCGCTCAAGACTCGCACATAAAACGGCTTACTAAAAACAGGTTATCCAAGTGAAAATGGAATCGTCAACATAATATAACTAAAACTAGTCTCACCTAATTGTTCCCCCCAAACCTGTCCTATTTTACCATTCATTCACCTCATTGCCTCAGTCAGAAGAACATAATGTGTCAGAAGGCTTACCTGTTCTGTAAAGGATGTTTAATATAGTGTTCTGGGTTAGCAACCTCCTGATTAGATTCTGTTTTCTCTTCTTCTGTAGGCGGGGGATTAGGAGTAGGGGTGGTTTCCTAATGGAAAATAATAAAATATTATTTTAAATTTCTTAACATAACTATGATAGTAATACTCTAAATCAAATACTGCCAATATTCTTTAAGAATTTTAAAAGCATTTCATAAAATAGGCCACAAACAAATGCTGAGAAAACCACCAGATTCTCCATTCTAGCATCTCTTCTCTAAGAGCAAAAGGCTTCTCAATAAAAACACAGTAACAATACTATATACAATTATCTGTCACTTACACATTTTGGTATCAGAAAGATTGTTAGACACCATGCAACAAAGTTAAGGAATCAGCTGTCTTTCCTAACATACCACTAAAGTACTATGTAGGGTTTGGAGGGTAGGGGAAGTGTGCCTAAAGTTTGGAGAGTGTAATATGACAAAAGAAAGTTATGAACTGATGAAGCCAATACTGCACAGGCTCTTCCTTCTTGTCACACTATTTATTATATGGTAAAAGTTCAGCAACTTCTATCACTTTCAAAGGCCCCAGGCAAAAAAGCTTGATGTTGGCTTGATCCTAAATCATCTTCTAGGTTAGACATAGTACTGTCATCTACAAATGTCGGGAAAAGGGATGCCTGGGTGGCTCAGTCACTTAAGCCTCTGCCTTTGGCTCGTGTCATGATCCTAGGGTTCTGGGATGGATCCCTGCTTCTCCCTCTGCCTGCCAGTCCCCTTGTTTGCCCTTTCTCTTTCTCTGTCAAAAAACCAAACTCTTAAAAAAAAAAATCCTTAAAAATTCTCAGGAAAAAAAGGAGCTTGGGGATAATCTGCGTTCTCCACATTGCTCCATGTAGCTCTTCACCAAATTATAAACTACTGTCAACACAGCTGGATACCACGGAAAGGCACCAGAAGCTAAAACAAAGACTGATTTTTTTCAAAAAGTGCACCACACAAAGAGTCTAGGGATCATATTTCAACTGAACTAGCAAAACAACAGAGATGTATGTTCACATTAACAGGATTGTGCAAATCAGGGATGGAGGGTCTATAAGACAGGTGTTAAGTATTCATTTTACAAAATACATTTTACTTAATAACATGACATGTCTAGGAGCTAATTTCTACTAACCTATGAAGTCGCTTATAATAGAGACTATGCCTTGATTTTGCTCACAACTGTAATGCCAATGAGCACAGCAGGAACTTACTGGCTTGATTACATAAGAAATAAAATAAAGGTAAATGTTTAAAAGCAATTAAGACTCCAAAATTTATACAGTCAATGCCCTAAAATTACCATTTTTTACCAGGATTTTTCTATCACAATTTACATCTGCATATAGATAATTACAAAATGCCATTCCTTAACCCACCAGCTTAAAATTAATAATTTCCAGAGAGAGGCAGTCTCAATGGATCAAGAAACAGGCAACAGTTACAGACTAAGCGGGTTTAGAGAGATAGGATAGTAGAGAAAAGTGGGCTACAGAGATGTTAAGCCTCAAAAATCTATGTAAAAGTCCCTCAGAGATCCTTGGCTAGTTCCTAAGCTGTGATGTTCAGAGTACAGCTCTGGGTAGTCTAGCAGAGAAAGCTCAGCCAAGACTTCAGGGGCTGAATACCATTAGCAAGACTGGGTTCACACCAGAGTGGGTGAGTGAAAATCCTCAGCTTTCAGATGAAATCCTAGAAAGGAAATCAGGTGAAATACATCTGTCTAACAAATCCTAAAACCAATCTTTGACAGGATCAAGGTAATCTACCTACAAATTAAGTGCCTCCAAGAACCAAACTCTACATTCTTCAGAAGAGAACATAGTTCTGTGTCTCTATGAATGCTATTTACAATATCCTATCCAACAATCAAACATTACTAGACATGCAAAGAATTCTTTTTTTAAAGATTTTATTTATTTATGGGGCGTCTGGGTGGCTCAGTCAGTTAAATGTCTGCCTTCGGCTCAGGTCACGATCCCAGGATCCTGGGATTGAGCCCTGCATTGGGCTCCTTGCTCAGCAGGGAGACTGCTGCCTCTGCTCGCTCCCTCTGCCTGCCACTCCCCATTTGTGCTGTATCTTACTCTTTGCTTTCTTTCAAATAAATAAATAAATAAGTCTTAAGTTATGTTATATATTCTTATATATTCAGAGAGAGCGAGAATGAGAGAGTATAAGCAGGTGGGAGCAGCAGAGGGAGAGGGAGAAGTAGGCTCCCCGCTAAGCAAGGAGCCAGATGAAGGACTCAATTCAGGGCTCTGAGACTGTGATCTGAGATGAAGGCAGATGCTTAACTGACTGCTCCACCCACACGCCCCTGCAAAGAATTTTTTTAAAGTCACTAAGATCAAGAGATTAACCTGTCCACAGAAAGACATCGAGACATGAAAACAGCAAACAAAGACATAATAACCAAGATTACTCTAGTAAAATAGGAGAAAAGATAGGGGAAAAGATGAAAAAAAAATGTGGAGTTTTTGAAAAGATAATGAAAATCTATTTTTAAAGAGAACCAAATAAATATTGTGGAACTGCTAAGTACAATGTCTGAAATTAAGACTTCCCTGAATGGGGGGCACCAGGGTGGCAAAGTCGGTTAGGCATCCGACTCTTCGTTTTAGCTCAGGTCATAATCTCATGGTCATGAAAGTGAGCCCCACATGGGGATCCACACTCAGCAAGGAATCTGCCTGAGATTCTCACTCCCTCTGCTCTCCCCTTGCTCAAGCTCTCTAGCTCTCAAATAAATAAATAAATAAATAAATAAAACTTAAAGAGTTCACTGAATGATTAACAACAAGTTCAACTCTGCAGAATGTGAGATTGGTGAACTCAAACATAGGTCAACAGAAGATACTCAAGTAAATACAGACAGAGAGAAAAATAGATGGTAAACACTGTGGAAAATGGTTAAAAAGTTCAAGGACAAGATGAGAGAATTGAAAGAAGCAATATACAAACAATGACCAAAATTTACCAAATCTCATCAGAAACACAAGTCACAGATTCAAAAAGCTCAAGGAACTCCAAGCAGTAAAATACACACAAAATTATACCTAGGCATATCAAATTCAAACTACTGAAAACTTAAAGAAGTCACATTATAAGTAATTAGGAAAGAGGACACAGACACACAAACACACACACCCCTTTCATAAGAATAATAAGATTAACAGCTAACTTCCCAAAGAAACTATGGAAGTCACCAAGACAACAGAATGACATCTCTACACTGAAAGAAAAATTGTTAACCTAGAATTCAGTACCTAGGAAAAACATCCTTCAGAACTGGATAAATACACAGATGCACACAGACAGAAACAACCCCCTCTTCCTCAACACATACATACAGATCCAAAATAAAGAGGAACAAACACCAAAGGAAAAGTCTTCAGGCTAGAGAGCCCAGGTAGGAACATGAAAATGTAAAAAAGAATGAAAATCACTGGAAGACTATGAACAGTTTAGAAGAACAATAATAATGATGTCTCATGGAGTTTAAAATAGTAATGATGGTTCTAGCAAAGAACTGGGTATATATAAATTTGTAAGGTTGGCTGTACAGCACATTCTTCCTTCAGAAGTTAAGTGCTATAAATGATCTTATTTACCTACATTAAGAGACGAGTAAAATTTACTCCTAAGTTCCTAATCCTCAATACAAACCATACTTTCACAATGTTTACTTAAACAGTTTATGTCAGCAGCACATAAAAACAATGAATTAATTTCAGTATGAATAATTACAAGTTTCATGAGATCCAAAATGTCACCTGCTAAACTTAGTATTTTCCTTCCTTTTTGGTTACTTGAATCTTTTCACAATGAGGAGAATGATCAAAGACTTAGATGGTATTAAAAATTTCTGGACACATAGGAACTAAAAGCAGGTAATAACTCAGGAAAAAGTATATTAAGTTCCTAGAATTTAAGTTTCTTTTGAATTAAAAGTCCTACCTTAACTGATGTTTCAGTCTTTACATTAAGAATCTATAATTTTGAATTTTATAACTAAAAATAAGTACTCAACTTTAAATAAATGTGTGTGATTGTATAAAAATGTAAAAACCTTTCAGCCTCCACTTTTAATATTACACAAATACGCTAAATGTTAAGACAAATACTCTAAAACACCCTCCCAAAAAATATTAAACACAATCATCTTTCAGTATTTAAAACTTTTAAGATTTTATTTATTTGATGGAAACAGAGCAAGAGAGCATAAGCAGAGGGGGAGAAGGAGGCTCCCTGCTGAGCAAGGAGCCTGATTGGGGGATCAGTCAACTTGAGCCCAGGGCAGATGCTTAACCTACTGAGGCACTCGGGCACCCACCTCCCTTTTATTTAAAGATTTTAAGCAGTGGACTGACGTTTCTTTTATTTAGCCTTTTAAGTTACCATCTGCAGTTTTAATAGTTTCATCTTCAAATTATTTTTTAAAGATTTTATTTATTTGAGAGAGAGAGCACGCACAGTGGAAGGGAGGGGCAAAGGGAGAGAGTCTTAAGCAGGGCTTAATCTCATGACCCTAAAATCATGACCTGAGCAAAAACCAAGAGTTGGATGCTCAACTGACTGCGCCACCCCACCCCTCATGTTCAGATTTTTAACTTAAGAATTTTTCAAACTCTTTTAATAAAGCAACAATGGTTTTAATAGCCAATTATTTCCAAGATAGAATAAAAATACTCTTTAACATGGCACAAACCAAATCTAATAAAAGTCAGAAATCACATCTTCTTTATCCATTTATCAATTGACATACACTTGGGCTCTTTCCATAATTTCGCTATTGCTGATAATGCTGCTATAAACATTGGGGTGCATGTATCCCTTTGACTCAGTATTTTTGTATTCTTTGGGTAAATACCTAGCAGTGCAATTGCTGGATCATGGGGCATTTCTATTTTTAACTTTTTGAGGAACCTCCATACTGTTCTCCAGAGTGGCTGCACCAGTTTGCATTCCCACCAACAGTGCAAGAGGTTCCCCTTTCTCCACATCCTCACCAACACCTGCTGTTTCCTGTGTTAATTTTGGTCTAAGTTACCAAATAC